TCCGTGATGGAAAGCTTAGTACAGAGCTTTTCGTTGCTGGTCCACAGGGTTGCATCGACCATGTGTCCGCCATTTTGGAAAGTGATTTTATTCTATGACGTCATTTAAGTGAACCGCCCTATGGTGCGTAAATTGACGTTTTTTTGATTGGTCGGGCGGTTGACCTTGTGTCACATTTTCATTATAGATGACAGTGCTTGACAAAAAAACAACAACAATCATGTAAACAATGAACACATGGCTACAAAAATGCAATCAACAGGGCAGAAGACCACCTTATCCGAAGCAACACTGAAATAGCAGAAATCATTGCCGGTCTGCTTTTAGACGACGATGAAGATGGTGATTGGTTTGACGGCTTCACTGTCGAACAATTTATAATTTGTGTCTGACAGTACTGCCTAGAAACATTAAAAAAAGGGAGTGCAGCCAGACGGCTACTTTGCAGCCATGTGTTCATTGCTTGTTTGTGTACAGAGTGACCTTTGCCATTCCACTGTTCCATTTCAAGTGTAACATGGTGCGTGGTCCTTGACGCAATGCATGTTCTCTGCCCGACTATACGCCATGAATGTCGCTAGCCACGAGTCTCAGAGGCACTAAAACAACGTCCTGTAATCGTGTTCATTGGAAAACAAAACAAATCACTAATAAATTTATGAAAACAGCTTTTTTAGCTCCGCTGTCGACTTTGTCGAGCGGAGCTTATCATATGACTGATTGTCCGTCGTCGTCGTCGTCCGTCGTCGTCGTCCGTGTCAATGTTTTACTTTTTCGACTTCTTCTTGAAAACTACAAGCCTAAATGCTTTGATACTTGGTGTATATGTACCTTGGGTAGACCTCTCTTAGGTTTGTTCATTTCATGTTGATATCTTTAATTCTCTAATTTTGGTGAATATTTTTGTCATTTTTGGTAAAAACTGATATTTTCGACTTCTTGTTAAAAACCGCAAGTGCAATTGCTTTGATATTACATTTATAGGTACTACATGTGGACCTCTCTCAGATTTGTTAATTTTGTAATGATATCTTTAATTCTTTAATTTTGGTGAATATTTTTGTCATTTTTGGTAAAAACTGATATTTTCGACTTCTTGTTAAAAACTGTAAGTCCGATTGCTTTGATACTATACATATTGTTCATTTTCCAATGATGTCTTCAGTTCTTTAATTGAAATGTGCATTGCTAACAGCGAAGCTATCTCAGCCGATAGGCTGCTTGTTAATTTTTGGTAAAAAGTGATATTTTCGACTTCTTGTTAAAAGCCACAAGTCCGGTTGCTTTGATATTACATATATAGGTACTACATGTGGACCTCTCTCAGATTTGTTCATTTCGTGATGATATCTTCAATTCTCTAATTTTGGTGAATATTTTTGTCATTTTTGGTAAAAACTGATATTTTCGACTTCTTGTTAAAAACCGCAAGTGCAATTGCTTTGATATTACATATATAGGTACTACATGTGGACCTCTCTCAGTTTTGTTCATTTTGTAATGATATCTTTAATTCTCTAATTTTGGTGAATATTTTTGTCATTTTTGGTAAAAACTGATATTTTCGACTTCTTGTTAAAAACCGCAAGTGCAATTGCTTTGATATTACATATATAGGTACTACATGTGGACCTCTCTCAGATTTGTTCATTTTGTAATGATATCTTTAATTCTCTAATTTTGGTGAATATTTTTGTCATTTTTTGGTGAAAAGTGATATTTTCGACTTCTTGTTAAAA